CCGAGCCGAGCCGAGCGCTCCCGAGTTCTCCCGAGCCGAGCCGATGGCTCCCGATCCCTCCGGAGTCACCCTGAGCTTCCCCGATCCGCCCATCCCTCCCGATCCCGCCCGAGCTCCCCTGCGTCCCCTCGATCCCTCCGTCCCCAAATCCTGTGGCCATAGGCGTCCTGTGTGAACACACTGAGGCCGCTGAAAGGGAGTTGGTGCCATCATACAGTCACAGACCGGTTTGGGTCGGGAGAGACCTTAAACCTCATCTTAAAGCATGTGCACCTCATCTTAAACCTCACCTTAAAGCATGTGCACCCTCCACCAGCCCAGGTTGCTTCAACCCCATCCAGCCTGGCCTGGAACACTCCCAGGGTTGGGGCAGCCACAGCTGCTCTGAGCAACCTGTCCCGGTTGTCCCTCGCAGTGGAGAATCTGTTCCTACTGTCTAATCTAAATCAACCTTCCTTCAGCTTAAAGCCATTCCCTGTGTCCTCTCCCTCCACTCCTTGCCCACAGTCCCTCTGCAGCTCTCTTTGAGCCCCTTGTGGCACTTGAAGGGACTCTGAGGTCTCCCTGGAGCTTCTCCAGGCTGAACACTCCCAGCTCTCCCAGCCTGGCTCCATGGCAGAGCTTTGCCAGCCCTTGGAGCATCTGTGCAGCCTCTTTGGATTCATTCCAACAGGTCCACATCTTTCTTCCATTTGTGCCCCAGAGCTGGAGCAGCTCACCTGAGCAGGGCAGAGGAGCAGAATCCCCCCTCACTGCTGCCAACACCATGGGATCAGCCCAGCACGAGGGTTTCCGAGTGCCTGTGCACATTGCCGAGATGTACTGAGCTTCTTGCCCACAAAGCATTCACATTTTAATCCTCCTGTCACCTTCCAAGGTCTGGGACCTTTCCTCACCATGTCCTCTCTCATGCAGGGAATGGGACACTGCTGGTCAGTGCCAGCAGCCGCACAGTGGGGCTGTGCACTGCCAAAGGTCTTCTGCTCTGGGCTCCCTTGCCTCAAGTGTTTGAACAGTATTAGCTAAAGGGAACAGAAAACAAACCCTAACTCTTGCTAATTTTCTTGTCTCTCTCCTTAAAACTGGTTACTTCTCAGAAGGATGGTGGCTGGTCCCAGCAGAGCTTGCCATGAGCCTGGTTTGCACTGGTTGATCACATGGCTGTGTAGACACTAGGAGGACTTAGGGACCTGGGAAGGCAGGAGCTGCACAGGAAGATTAGGTGTGATTTTGACCATTCTTAGGAAGACAGGAAGCAACTAGAGGCTGTAGAAGGTGTAGCTGATGCCCAGCAGTAATGTGGGCAGGCAGGTCAGCAGCTCAGACTGATGAACAGTTCCAATACTGGTAAGCGACTGGAGCAGAACAGAACCAACTCTGAACCCATGTTCAGGAGTTAGCTATAAAATCCAGCTGCAGGGACTGCAGAGATCAACTCCAAATAGTGACAGGGAAGAAAGTGAAGTAACAGGCAACTGCTATAAGAACACTATCCTTGCCTATAAGCCAAGAATTTCATGCTTCCATAAACTGGCGTTTCCTTCACCTCCCCACTTTACTCTCCTTTTGTTTGTGTTTAGACAAATTTCTGAAATAGCCACAAAACTCCTTTCTGTTCGTATGATTTACCTAATGAGTGAGAAAAATGGTTTTCTCAGAGTACCTTTAACATATTTTCCATAGCTTTACACCAGCCAACACCTCACCCAAAATTTGACACATTTATGGTTCTGAATTGATAGATTGAAGTTAATCCTTTTATTTTTGAGGGCTCTTTATTAAATGCAGTTCAGGTGACAAATAGACTCTCCATATTTGTAAAACCACGTCCTCAGTCCGTATCTACAGTTTAGCTCCATATTTACTGGGTATAAGCACAATTAGAATAAGGCATACAAAAGGCTTCCAGCAACATCTTGTTGCACCTGAGACATCACTGTGCCCATCATTTGTAAGGAATTGCTCCCCGGGATCAGAAGAGCAAATGTAAGCTAACAGTAAAGTATCTGAGAATACTCTGAGATGTGAAACAATGAGAATGTGCTTTGGTGACTTCTCTATTTGCACAGAGCTGAGACCTTTTTAATTTAGTGCAGATATAAAATCTGATGTTTATATGAAGAATGTGTGTTCAGGCTGGTCCAAAACATTGGTATGCACATGCCAACTTGCATTTTTTACCTTTATTTCAACAAATTAAATTTAATTCCATCTTTCATCAGAGAACTCTTGAGATAATCAGTGCTGAAGCCATGTCCACAGTTTGTTCTTCACTAACTGGTGTGGGCAAACTGTGCCCTGAGCTTTTCTTGTCAGAATGTTTCAGCTGAATTCACATGAATGGAAAACCCTTCATGGAACGGAGGACAAACTCCCCCCAGAATGGCTCTGATACACTGCCTGAGCAACTGGACACTTCCATATGCACAAAAAAATCCAGGAAATGACAACAGAAATGGAGGAACTGAGATGTGGAAGAGCTGTTACCCATCCTGTGTGCTGGCAAAAGGGAATCAGCAACTTTCTCTAACATGTGGGTCCTGTTCTGACTCCCTGTAACACCCTTCCATATGCCCAGCAACACAGTGGGAAGAGGAGCAGCCTAATCCCACCACAATGCTACTCAATACCTACTAGTGCTCATTTCAAAAGAAGCCATGATATATCTCCCTAGCTGTAATTCATCCTTCTTCCCACACTTCAGAGAAAGAAGATTTTATTAAGTGGCATTTTCCATTGTGATAGACATGAATCCAGGAGAAAGGCCTGTAGTGACTTTCAGCTTTCAAACACAACACACTGACTGGTGAGTACAAGTGTCATTATACAGGTAATAAATCACTCAAAGCCTCTTCACTGTGAAGAGGGTGAGACTGGGAAGGGTCACAGAATGCTGAGAATGGAAAAAGGATTAAAAGCAATGCTCAAGACAGACACAAACTGAAGGAAAAGGTGCTTTGAAGTCTACACTTTTGTTTTCCTCCCTTTAAGTCTATGCTATGATATGGAAATACAAGGCAGTGTGTGTGAGGAGAAGGTCTTCATCCAGTACGTTTTCTAAATTAAGTTCCACAGTTTGGTTTCTGATAAAAAGAAGTCACTTGTAATTTAATACCTGTTTCAGGACTCTCAGATCTGTGGTGCTGTTAACAGTGCACTGAACTGGCATTATCCATCTTTTAAAAAAATGAAAAAGCAGCTCTGAACTTTGCTTCTGAGATAGACGCACTGTCTCTGAACCGGCAACAATTCCTCTCACTCCTGCTTTGAATCTTTCAAGGCCTGAAGTCTTTCTAAAAGGGGTGGATGGGAATAATGCCACATTGAAAAGATCCAGTCAGAAACAGGGAATCCTAAATTATCTTTGTTAAGCTTGATCAAAGCAGAATACAGGTCTTTAGCCTTTCCAAGTTGCTTGGCAAATGCATCTGCTTGAAACTCAAATCGTCGGCTTAGCACAGTCAGACAGAAGGAGAGAACCTATGGAGAGAAATATATTGAAAATTACTTTAAAATTCAGCTATCTGCAAACTCCTTACAGTGTCAGTAAATACCACCATATCTACCTTCCCATACCCCACACATCACTGGCTTCAGAATGATCTCACTAAGGTTTATCCAAGCCACACTTGAAACTGGGACTCTTACCCAACCTGCAGCACTCAGCCTGATAACTAAAATGAGACACCAAATACATCCCCTGGAAATGTCAAACTTTCCCAGTCAAAACAAAATCATTATTTGAATAGGATCATACTTCAGCATCTATGTCTTAAAAACAATTTACCTCATTGTAAGGTGAAAAGATGAACTGGAAAATAATCATCAGGCCTATCAGGGTAGGCTGGGTGTCATAGAAACCAAACGCAGCAAAGAGCTCTTTCCGGCCAATTAGCACAGCAAACAGGAAGAAGCAGAGGAAAGAATTCATCTAGAGAAACAACATTCGTGATTGAGTTTAAAACATCACATTACAGATATTCATAGAAACACTTCTGTAAAAAACAAGTAGATTACTTTTGAACTCGCATACAAGAGGAGCAAACAGCTGTTTGTGCCTCTTCTTCAGAGGCAAACCTGCTTCAGAGCAAACCTGCTCTCTGAAAATGCATCCAGTAAAAACACCATGATTTTCTGTCAGTGAGCAAAAAAAAAAAATCTAAGTAATGAAGGAAGAAAAAGGCAAGAAGAGAAGTGAGGTGAGAGTACAGGGTAGAACCCATCTTCTTAGAATTAAGCATAGCCTGTACAAAGTTTAAAGCAAAACAAAAACGTGTCTGTGCTGTGTCACACTTCTATTCCTGGAAACAACCTACACTCCCAGGCAAGCCCTGCAGTGCTGAGGCTGAGCTGTGCCTGCCTGCCTCTTCAGGGCCAGGAGGCAGGACCAGCTAGACAGAGGGTGATTGGTACCTTTTCAACTCATCCAAGGGGCTGTTTAGTCTTTTTAGAGGAATGTGGAAGGTGCCAGAATATTGTCTGCTATTGAAACACAGAGAACAGAGAAGAGGATTGGCTGTGACAGCAAACAGTGAAAGCAGAATTAAGACATTGCAGAAGAACTGTGAAAATTTCTGGAAGTGAGGATAAAGTGCACCTGTTACAGCAAAACGGTAGTAATCTAGAAAGTGGATCCAAAGACAAATTCCATGAGTTAACAAAGTGGCAAAAGCAGTGTAATAGTTAGTAGTTAGCAGGGACCAGTGCCGATGACAGAAGTTGGAAGGTAAAAGCAGAAAGTCAGAAGTGTTGAGCTGCACAGGTAAGAAAAAGTCAATGTGAAAACAGATATTTTTTTAAACAGGAACTTACTAGTGATGCTTACAGCCTAAAAGCTTGTGAATAGCCTTAGAAAAAGAACAGAACAGCATTTCTGGAACAGCACACACATGGCAAGAAAGACGCGATGGAATTACAGAAGGTGTGTAGGAGGGCTGCTAAGAGAAAAAAACCAGAAAAGGCTGAGAATTTGGAGAATAGAAGCATGAGTGATACCTTGAACAACACAGATTACACCACACCAATTCGTGTCTCTCCAGAGATTGCTCCACTGTTCATCCCCATTTTGGACATGCACCAAGAATGGCACAATAAAGGTATTTATTAACAATCAAGGCACAAGGTATAAGAACACAATATATGTAATGTGTGACATTTCCCAATTCTCAATCACATTTCTTCTCAGCTTTCCAAGGTATGAGGCAGACAGAAGCTCCCAAGCACACGCGCAAAGCTTTCTCAGAGATAATGACAAACACCTACAAAATGCTGGTTGGGAGTCAGGATACATCCAATCCAATCCCTAGCACAGGGATAGAAACAGGACCTTCAGGGAAGGCCCACAGTCAAACAGACAAGAAAGAAGTGTTACAGAGCAATGTGTCCCAACTTGAGAAGGCTACTGAGACAAACTGAAATGGCAGCAGACATGCTTTCTGAGAAGCTTCCTGCCAACCAGATGAAGCAAGGAGGGGACAGAAAGGTGAGTGCATGTTCACTGCACATAGAGCAAAGCAAAAACCCAAACCAACTCTCTGTCACAGAGCACAAGGGTATCAGGTGAAGGCACACCTACAAACCTGGAAGCAGGCACTCAGAAACAGCAATAATTACAGAGTGCTCCAGGAAAACCCTCAGTTTATAGTGACTTACCTGGCTGATAATAATATTTTTGACAGTGTGACCTAGCTTCCAGTGACCCAATTCATGACCAAGTACAGCCAGAACTTCTTCATTTTTACACCCTTGTTTCTTGTTCTAAGGGAATAACAAAGCAGAAGTAATATCAGGTATGACTGAACACAAGTGAATAAATTTCTTACTTACTTGTTTTTCCCTAGGTCAATTAAGTGTTCCTAGATCAGGTCACTCTCTTCTAACAGCAGATACACACACATAATTTCTTACTGAGCCTTTTTCCGAGAAGATACTTTCAAAAAATATCACCTTTTAAGCTCATGAGGATTTCTACCATGAGGTGGTGATCTCTTTATTTCTATGTATGCAGACATGCTGATGCAAACCTGGAACAACTCTGGAAGATTTGCCTTCCAAATTCTCTCCTACCATGCCTTGATCCTGCCCTGTTTCTTTCCTCAAGGAAAGCATTGCAATGGAAGCAGGCACACAGAGCTGGAGACTTTCAGAGGAGAATTGAGAGCAAAGCCCTCTCCCTATTTCCTTCAACACTCAACATGCAGCCTCCATCCCAAGGCATTACTGTTCCTTAAAAGGGAATGACACCATCCCTGTTCTCTTCAAAAAAACCCATGACATGCCTTAAAGCTATCATTAGGAAGGAATCCTGTACCTTCAAAGATACATTAGCAAGTCAGAAGCACAAGGGTTGAAGAATCTGTCGAAATGGAACAAATGACTCTCATGACTAGATAAGATGAGCTCAACATCTCTCCTGTCATCACCCACTTCTGCAGGATTTGCCAAACCAAACCCTGGACAAGAACTCCACCACCAATATGGTGTCAAGGAGCAGAAGCTGGACTAAACACCAATCCTGAGATTGGCCTAACCCTAGGCTGCACCAGAATTACTCCTTCAGGCTCTTCAGAAAGTATTCCATCAGCTTTAACCATCCCCACACTCCTCTGAGGTCACAACAGCTGTGACAGCAGACTCCTGATGTGCAGCAGCACATCAAAGGAGAGGCCAGTGCCAGGCAACCACCCTGTTCTTGCCCAGGGTAGGGGAGGATGCACATGTGGGATCTGTCCATGTGAGCCTTCTGCACCAAAACTCCTGCATGCAGTAAAAGGCACACAAATGACACACTGAGAGTTAAAAGCATTTCCTTCCAAAGGAAGCTTTGGTGTGTCAGTCCCAAGAGAAGGAACATGAGCCAAAACCCTGCACAGGTCCCTTATTCAAACAATTATAAGGGAGGTCTAGTTTTTCCATGCAGGGAACCAACGTTTTGCTAAAGCCTCTGTGGATTTTAGTCTCTTGGGTGCTACATGCACCACTCACAAAGCCCCAGAAATTCCAATTAGCAACCCAGGGACACACTGGTGTTGGAATCATTAGGGTTTGGGTTTTAGCAACTCACTCAGAACCTGCAAAATGTGTTAGAAAACACAAGGGAATATCTCACCAAGACATTGATGGAAATAACACAATGAAAAACAAACTCACTTTGGTTTTAGACTTTGTCTCTTCATTCTCACCATCTTCTCCTTCTGCTGGTTCTTTGTTCAATGCAGAATAATCCTCCAGGAGGGTGTCAAAGAGCACTATCCGCTTGTTCTTGAAGAATCCATAGAAATAAGCATTGCTATGGGAAGAACGTTTGGAACCTGATGGAGAAAATGTGCATTAAAGACTGAATAATCCCATCACTGCAGCCTGTGCAGTGTGACACAGACTCTTCCAAAGCAATTCTCCAAGTACCCAAATGAGCAGTAGACAAACTCAAGCAAATCAGTTTGCAGGCTGAAGCATATTTTAAAATCTAAGTAATAATGACTCCAACAGAGAAATGTAACATGTAAAGCACTAAAAGCACTAAAATCATAGGAGCACTCATGAAGATCTAATGTCCAGAAGAAAAGCAAATTCTATGGCAATTTCAGATTCAGAGTGGAAGGAGCATTCTGCATTGACATTGCCTCCTGTAAGGAACCTGTGCTGAATTCGTTCAATGTGCCACCAAAGACGACTGGAAAGAGATAAGGATGTTAGATAAGGAGAAAATAACGAGATTAACTATAGACAGTCCCCCAATATTATTTTTGTTTGAAATAGGCAATTTTTAGAGCTACTTTTATCTAGATCAGGTCAATCATGGGCTGTCTCTACCACTAATACAATTTGGGCCAAGAAACTCATCTCTTTCCATGGAATGTGGATGGTTTCAGTTGATTAAAAGCTTTTTTTTGCCTATGGAGAGTTGTTGCAACATGAAGACTGAAGGATGTCTGTGAGAGCAGAGATGGATTCCTCTGTTTTTTTGCAGCAAAAGACAAGTCAGGTTGAAGGACAGTCAGACTGAGTGCACCCTCAGCAAGTTCACTGATGACACCAAGCTGTGTGGGGCAGTCGACACACTGGGGGGAAGGGATGAGCCATCCAGAGGGACCTTGACAAGCTTGAGAGGTGGAACAATGCAAACCTCATGAAGTTCAACAAAATGAAGTGCAAGGTCCTACATCTGGGCCATGGCAATCCCAGCACACCTACAGGTTGGGTGGGGAAGTAACTGAAACCAGCAGTGAGGAGAAAGACTTGGGAGAGACAGTGGATGAGAAACTCACCATGAGCTGCAGTGTGAGCTCAGAGCCCAGAAAGACAATTGAATCCTAGGCTGCATCCAAAAGGGCATGACTAGCAGGTCAAAAGAGGTGATTCTTCCCCTCTACTCTGCTCTTGTGACACCCACCTGGAATACTGCACACAATTCTGGTGCCCTCAACACAAGAAGCCATAGGAACTGTTGCAGCAAGTCCCAGAGGAGGCCATGAAGTTCATAAGAGGACTGTAGCATCTTCCCTATGAGGACAGCCTGAGGGAGTTGGAGCTGTTCAGCCTGCCTGGAGAAGACTGCATGGAGACCTCATATCAACTTTTCAATATCTGAAGGGCCTACAAGGAGCTAGAGAGGGACTCTTTATTAGGAACTGCAATTACAGAACAAGGGGTAATGGATTCAAACTGAAGGAGGGGAAATTTAGGCTGGATATCAGAAAAAGGTTTTTTACTGTAAGGATGGTGAGACACTGGCACAGGTTGCCCAGGGACGTGGTAGCTGCCCTGACCCTGGCAATGTTCAAAGCCAGGTTTGATGAGGTCTTGAGCAACCTGATCCAGTGAGGAGGTGTCCCTGCCCAGGGCAGGGGATTATGACTACATGATCTGTAAAGTCCATTCCAACCCCTAAAATTCTATGAAGCTATGAACACTCACTATGAGTGTATGAGCTGCATAAGCTCCCATAAAATGGGCAAAAAACATCCATTGTTGCATTGGAAGCCAACGTGTGGGATGGTCATGGTGACCTTCAGCACCAAACCAAAACAGATAAACAAAGGATGGGTCAGAGCATTAAACCTCAGCATCCAGTCCCTTCTCAGTGAAGAAATGTGAATAGCCACAGGTAGCAATGTTTCCTTCCGTCTGTATATCATAAAAAACTTCAACCTCCACTAAGTGTTGGTAGAGAGGGAGCCTTTGTAATCTGCCTCTTACAGAATGAACCCTGAAATTAAAGGACTTGGTCGCACATGTTACCAAGAAAATAGTTCCAGAGTGGGAAGATCCAAGACAGTGCAGAAAAACAGGTACAAAGGTGTTCTCACAACCAGCCCCATGTCAGAGGGGAATTTGCTGGCTCAGCACTCTTAAGGGTGCTACACGTTGGGGGTTGGCAGCCTCCACTGCAGCAGGACATGCTGGAGAAGGCAATGCAGCACACTACACCTGTCCCCGTGGTGAGAAGCTGAGACACAGTCAGCAGTGCTTCTGGGAAAACCAAACTGGTTTGGCAAACCTCTGCACTGACTCTCCATCTTGAAAAGCTTCAACTTTGCAGGGGAAGAGAAGAGTTACCTGTGCCCCAAGTGTATCAGCAGTTCCAGTGGCATGAAGGCAGAGCACTGGCAGGATTTGACCAGCCTGAAGTTGTGAAAGTCACAGCTTCCAGGCTGGATAAAGCCTTTGTAACTTTCTGCGGCTGCAAAGTTCGACTGCCTTGGCTCTTTATGCCATCTCATGCTGCTTTCACCAAGTCAATAAAAGCCACCTCTGAGCCTCACAGGTGGGGCACAAAGCCAGAACAAAATTAGATGAAGTCCCTGAAATCAAGTTCAGACAGGAGAAAAATGAGTAATAGTGGAAACATCAAACAGTAAAGTGCTCCATGAACATGGAATTGGAGAGGAAGTCACATGGCAGTTGGCATGCTCCAGGTCATATTCCATGACCTAAGGAAAAAAGACAATAAATTCATTACTAGAAAATGAAATAAAGTACAGTCTCAAGAAGCAGGTGTGAGTTCCTCCATCCATCCCATAAGAAACCTGCACACACCTTAAGGAGAAATATGTTTCACGACTTTTTCAACTGTTTCACCAAGGACTTTGAGATAATTAATGCTAAACTGAGACAAAAAAGTTAAACTATTCCCTTTGGTTTACAGTTCCTGGTTCCATTCCTGACCAAACTGGGTATTTCCATCCCACAGAACCAGGACAATGCTTCCAGCCAGAGGCTGAGCTCAGGCTGTACATTCAGCTTCACTTTTCTGACCTCAGAGCAAACCCTAGGAAAATGGAACAGACTTTGGCACAGACATTGACAAGTATTGCAGTATCTGATCAATGCAAGCGACTGCCCTATGACAGCACCCACAGCCAAAGCTGAAACCCACCACTTCAAACTTACAAAGTTTTTTATAAAAAAACCCTCACCTTCAACAACATACACCTTGGTCAGTGGGAAGTCGATGCTCTTTGCCATTGTTTCAATTTGCTGCTTGAGCTCTCCTTCGGGAAGTGGAATGAATTTATCAAACAAAGGTGCAATATAGTCTGCATAGATTGTAACAAGCACCTGCAAACACAGAGTAGGACATGCAAACCTGTGTTTAGTGAGTATAAAAAGAGGGCACAGTTTCAGACCAAAACACTGGATACAGCAGAGCCCTGTGTGCAGAGGGATCCATGGCCAGGCTCTCCATGGTCCCCCAGCAGCAGTGTCTAGTGACAGCTCACAGCTCAGCAGGAGGATAGGGCAGGGGCCCAACCAACCACACACCTCAGCAGAACTGGAGTGAACAGTGCAGAGGGCTCAAAAAGGACAGTCTGTCACTTCCACACACTTCACCAGTCCTGGAAAGCTCTGAAGTGTTTCACACTAAGCTGCAGAGCCGAAGGAACCAGGACATAGTCCCGTGCTTCAAATTCCTGCTAACTTGCAAAACCACAGCCTAAGGTGAGGCAAGAAATTTCATGCCCCCTATTTTCTTCCCCTTCTCCCAGCTGTCTGCAGGGCTGAGGAACTGCCTTATGCCTCTGGGTCTGCAATGATTAAAGGCCTTGTCCCAGAAGAATCACTACAGTACACCTGCATGTCCTCAAACTGGCAGCAGCTGCAGCCCAGCTGAGACATCTAGAACTAGAACAACACTGTGATGGGAAGGAAAGCTGAGCTCACTTTCCTCACACTCTGGACCTTCACAAAGAGATTTATATTAATTTATTTTAAAAGTTCAAGTTTTGGTTAGTGAAAAAGGAACATGACATGAGCAGCAAATGGACATCGACATTAATTCCAAAGTTATCTTGACAGGCTAACTGGATTTTTTCCTGACAGGAACTGGATTTTTTCCCT